CCTGGCCTTTCTTTTATTCTGCCTCCAAATCTACCTTATTCTCTGTCTGATTCCTTTCTGTGTGCATGTACATTGTCTACTTAGAGCCCTTTTCTCCACTTTAATCTCATGTTTGGGGGTAACCCTTTCACAGCCTGGAAGGAACAACATTCTGATCTATCAAGGTAGATGCAACACCTGCTCCCTCTAGATATTATCTAAACATTTCTTCTGGTATATGAACTATCCTGTGATTTTTGCATGGGCATCTCATTTTCCCCTCTAAAGGTAAGTGTGTGTGTGTGTGTGTATGTGTGTGTGTGTGTGTGTGTGTGTGTGTGTGTGTGTGCGCGCATCTGTCTGTCTGTCTATCTATCTGTAAAAGGCATAAAGTTTAGAGGGGGACAAGTTTGGAAGAAAAAGAGGGTCAATAGGGCCAAAGAAGATAAAAGGAGACACATGTTCAAATGCATTATATTCATTTATGAAATTGTCATATTCATTTATGAAATTGTCAAAAATAAAAATAATTTTTAAAAAGCATAGGCTCAACTTCATTATTTTAATTTCTTATATACAACTCTTAGTGCTGGTTCTGTATTTTACATTTGATGAACTAAGTACCATATAATTAAATTAAATAGCTAATATTAATAAATATAGAAGATTTATTGAGAAGTATTTCTGAGTACAGATAGGCTTTTTCCGGCTACTCTTGTTAATATACTTCTTCCCTTTTTTGTTATTTCAATGAATTTTATATTTAACTTATTTGCTTCAGCAGATTACTGTTACTAATATGGTGAACCTTCAGTTAGGCAGTTCTCTCTGTGTGGCACTTTAAGTAAGGAATTCCTGTAAGCTTTGCAGCATCCCATTTTCCTAAACATAACCACTGATGTTCCAATAATATTTTCTGTGTAACTTCCAATGAAGGAGGGGTAAATGAGAAGCCAGTGACCATGTTTCTCCAAAGATGATAGAAAGCTCCTGTACATGCTGCACAGCTGACACTGTAGGTGCCCTCTAGTGTGAACACAAGGAAGTCTGTGAGTGTTCTTCTCCATCACTCCCACAGCTGTCCCATGGGAACAAGGATCACTCACTCCAATGATTCTCTGCTTGTCAAGAATTCAGCAGTTGAGCTTTTTCAACTCCTCAGACCCTAAGCATTAAACGAGAATAAAAAGCCAATGCATAGATTGCACACAGAAGAGCCTCAGAGGATTACCAAAGACCCTTTAATTTCGGCTGTCAGTCACAGCTCTTATTTTGTATGGTTCTAGTGCTTGTGCTTTGCAACACGATTTTTGAAGCTTTCTCAAAGGAGCACATTGATGCACATTTTCTCCCAGCCGAGCAAGAGCTAAGTAAAGAGTACCTCAGTGGCATTCAGAATCATAATAGCCTGCTATACTGTTCCCATGTCTGCTTCTCAAAATTACCCAAAGTTCTTTAAAGACCAGAATTATATGTCAACCTTTTTGACTCCTCAACACTTTACACAGTGCCTGTAACACACTGGACATACGTAGTTCACTGAGCCTTTGAATTTACAACAGATTTTAAATAGCACATCATAAAGGAGAGATAACTTATGAGAACAGGCATGGAATGAAAAATAATAGTTGCTACTAGCGTGGCATACCAAATTACCAAATACTTGAAGAGTATTTCTGTCCTATATTACTTAGTTTTAGGAGAAAATAGTGTTTATTTCTGAGTAAAGGCAGTTTCAGAATGTATTACTACATGCTAACAGTACTACAGTTTGTGTCTATTTTGGTACAGCTACTGCTGAAAGATTGAAATACGTTAAAGACATTTTGTTTAAGGGTAAAGTCAAGTACACACAATGTATTTTGAAAAGATTTGCATGGAAATTGCTTAAACAAGTAAAGTGGAGTTTAGCATGGTAAATCATTATCTCAAGTGACTAACTTCTTAAAATTTGTCTTTTAGTTTTGAGTTCATAGTATAGTTCTATCATTTCTCCCTTCTCTTCTCCACCAAAAGACTAATTTCAAGGGCTCTGTATAGCCATTGTCTTCCTCTCTGGGCATAGTATCTTATGATATCTAGGAAAATTCTTAGGTTATCAAGTAAATTGATAACCTCACTCTGCTTGTGAACTTTGGAAAACACACACAGACCACAGAGAGAGAGGGGGGAGAAGGGGAGGGGAGGGGAGGGGAGGG